TTGGACGTTTATTGTATTTGAATATTAGTAGGCCAGACATTAGCTACTCTGTACAACAAATAAGTTAGTTTGCAAACTCTCCATGTCAGTCACACTGGGAAGCTGCAATACACTTGCTTAGATATCTAAAAGGTTGTCCTTCAAAAGGCCTTTTTTATCTAATAGACAATTCTCTTCACTTGGAAGCTTTCAGTGGTGCAGACTGGGCCTCCTGTTCTGAAACCAGAAAATCCTTAACAGGGTTTTGCATTTCTTTGGGGCCAGCTCTCATTTCTTGGAAGACAAAGAAGCAAATAACAATCTCAAGATCATCAACAGAAGCAGAATATAGGAGTTTAGCAGCAACGGTTTGTGAACTTCAACGGATCTCCTATGTTCTTAAGGATTTTGGCATCCAATTAAAACTTCCAATTCCTCTTTGGTGTGACACTCAAGTTGCTCTACACATCACTGCCAATCCAGTGTTTCATGAAAGAACAAAACACCTGGACATTGATTGCCACTTAATTAGAGAGCAGTTTAAGCAAGGCTTTATCAATCATCAACACATCTCCACTCATCACCAAGTAGCTGATGTTTTTACAAAGCCACTTTCTTGTCCTAAATTCAGCAATTTCATGTCCAAGTTGGGTTTGCTTGATATCCACCAAACTCCAACTTGAGGGGGGGATGTAGAGTTACTTACTCTTAAGTCATTCGTTAATTCTTTTTTTTTTCTTTTGTCTTTTACTATTTAAGCTGGCCTTCTGTTATTGGCCGATGCTCTGTATATAAACTCTGTTACTGTAACCCTTTGGACTACGAGAAAGAATAGTTTTCTCTCCACTTTCTTCTTCCTTCCTTCTTGCCTTTTCTTCTTGTTTTCTTCTTCTTGTTGTTTTGCTTTGGTACAGCTTCTAACAAGACTTTCAACCAAACAAAACACTACAGCCACACATCAGGAGTATCTCCTGTGGTGGTTTGTTGGGAACAGATCTGAACTCATTTCGTAGTGCTCGTGCATTTGAAATGTTTTGATCATTTTATGAACATGAAAATGCTATTCTACCTAATTTTCCAATGCCAAAATGACAAATACCATCTGCTGACCACAAGACTTTAGGGGAAGTTCAAATCTGCTGACCACATGGCTCTTATACTTTATATTGTCATTCATAGGAAGATGATATCGATGATATGTGGCTGGTTGAAGTGTCTTGTGGTCAGCAGTCTCGAACTAATAATTAGGGTAGAATGGGATGTGTATATCAATGTCTCATAAAAATTGGTTAATTTATCAATATCCAATATGCTGGTCACAAAGATACTATGCACATTGGAAGCATCTCTCATCAATGACGATACAAATGCAAAAGATGTTCCCGATGTGGGGACATCTTGTGGCCAGCGGTTTAGAAGTAATTGTTAGGGTGGAACAGTAGAATGGGAATATGCATATCAATCATAAAAATTGGTTAACTAACCAACATCCAATATGCTGGTAACAATAAGATACAACTGCACATTGAAAAGATTTTGCATGAATGACAACATTAGAAGTACAATAAATATTCTTGATTTGGGGTTATAGGCTCTTGTGGCCAGCATATTTTTGAACCATATATGGAGTGTTTGAGTTTAGAACTGTGCAATCAACAGAGTATTTCTTGAATAGCCCTAAATCTAAGGTTCAAAGTATCCACATGTATCGACCCGTATTGGCCGATATGTATCGTATCGGGAGTACCCTGATATGCTTCTATAGAGGGTATAACGGGGTTCTAACCGGTTCAGGGGGTGGAGGAGCTTTAAACTGCCCCCCCTGAACTAGTTTTGAAAAAAATAAAAAAAAGGACCGATACTACCCAATACGCCCCTATCGACATATCAAGCTTATCGATATTTAGAACCTTGCATAAATCAATACAAATACTAGATGCTCAATTTGCGAGGTATACATATGTACTTAAGGGGGTGTTATTTTTCTGGATTTTGAGAGGGGGGAATGTTGGTCAATGGGATTTTGGTTCCCATTGACCAAGAATCCATGTTCATTTTTCAAATTAATGTGGGGACCATGGAAAGTTTATCTTCCTAGGTATAAGTGATACCCATCTCCTAGGTGGGTAAATAACTTTCCCACCTAGGAGGAAAGTTACTAACACTTGAATGGGATAAAAATGCCCCTTTTAATAATAGATTTTTATGAAAAATGGTCATTATCTTATTTACCTAAGAAATAAAAGAACATGGGTAAATGCACTTACCTAGTTAAGTGTTTCCAAGGAGAAACTTACCCAGGTAAATAACTTACCAAAAAGCGAAGGGGGCCTAAGGCTAAATCTAATTAGAAGTGTATCTTATGTGGCTTCACTCACTTAATAGGTTGATTCAATGGACCTAAGAATTTTCACGTGGCAACAGTCATTAATATCTCCACATATTTAGAGTTTAATTATAGGTAGGTTGTCTTAGTACCATTGTTGTTTCTAGCTAAAATATTGTGTTGATTAATATAAATTGGCAGTGTTTTTGAACTGTTGTTGATCTGGATGATTGAACTATTCGGCCCAAAAACTATCTAGGCAACCAGTTCTGTTTCACCCTTAATTCGTTTCTTAGCCAAAAATTATTAACTTAGTCATTGACCCATTGACCTATATAATTGAATTGTCCACCCATTTGACCTAGATAACCGTTCAAACCAGATGATCTGACCTGAAAACCGGCAGCCAAAGCGGTTAGGTTCCAAGTCGATTTTTGAAGCATTGCAAATTGGCATACAATTGCTGCTTATAATTGAAGCAAGCATGAAAAGCTGTTTGTAAAAAAAGTCAAATTGACATCTCTTAAGTCTTGCCCCAGGGTGTAAAGTTTAACCAGTCTAACTAAAGTAATTCTCAAATATGATATGATACGACGAAAACATATCACTAACCAATTTCTATTCTTCAACCCAAAACGTTTCATGTAGAAACAGTAATGATACCAAACACAACCCAATAAACATCAACAGGTAGAGTTATCTCATTGATGTATATGTACATACTAAGCACAATTATCAATCTTAATGTTTAAAATAAAAAAAAAGGTGATCCACAAAAAGAAAAATAATAATAAAGATATAAACGGTGAAAAGATTTCATCCATCCCTTTCATTTATTTAATCATGAGCACCGCCCCCCTAAAAACCAGCTATATTCAAAGCTTTGGTCCACATCAACCATTTTCTTCCATCAACAAAATCAATCCGGTTGTCGTAATATCCTGGTCCAGGTTTTATATAGGTGGCCACCCGCGGGATTATCCAGCAAGGACGACTCAAGGTTGCTACGTAAACATGTATTTTCTCCCTCCATTCGTCTTATCCTTACTTATCAGGTTCCAAACCTCATCTCTCAAGTCATCTCAGCCTTCTCCTCATTTTTTTTATTAAATAATTGACACAAAAAAAAAACTCATACACGAGAAGGTATAGAGTTGATGAATAAGTAATAAAGAACTCCTGTTGCCAACGATCATCACATGTGAAATGGACAGTTTGAATTGGCGACATCAGCCCTCGTTAATTGGGTTTCTTGGATCTTAGCCCATGCAGAATATCTTCTTTGATTCAGTTGCTTCAGTTTATGAACAACAAGGAATAGTACTGGAATGATTCTAACTAAGACTTGATTAATTTGCAAATACATAATCTATAAATTTAATTCTCTCTAAGATGCTATATATAATTATTCTCCATGATAAAGTGTGCCTGTTTGGGAGGGTTGAAGCACAGCGGTCAGCGGCTTCTAGCCATCCATGCGTGGAATTTATATATAGACAGGAGTTTTTATTGATTTTTCCATATTAGAAATTATTATGAATTTGTAGTGTTTTTTTTTTTTTTTATAATTGGGAACAATAGTATTTAGTTAGGTGGAGAAATCTATCACAATTCAAAGGATTTGAGATAATATATTTAGAAAATTAATATAAATTTTTAAAAGAAACAAACTACAAAATTTCCCAAAATTTTTGAAAAACAAAATCCACTCCATCAGCCAACTGTAGGGGTGTAACTCGAATTGGCCTGAATTAACATTTTACTCCGAGAACCATCTTTGTCTAGATTATATATATGACTTCAACTTTTTTTAACTTCTTAAGCAGTTAAACCAGTTTTCAACAAATATAGCTTACATTGTTTGTGTAGCCGAGCCAACACAGCTTCTTCAAAGCTTTGTTTTTTAACTCAATCCCTCCAAACAGGCCCAAAATATCAAGCCTTTACTTGTAGAGAGAGGTGAATTGATTCTTGAGACAGGAACAAAGTTATTAATAAAATAATAAGTAACACAGAGACGTTTTAGCCGGTGAGGTATTCAGGTGTCAGGCCTCCACCCGACTGGTCTACCTGTTTCTGATTCTATTTTAATATATAACAAACAAACACGCCTCTGTTCCCCTCATTATATCAACAAAATGGAATCTGTTAAAGTGTATAATCATTTAATTTCCGAAATTACCCCTACACGTTGGACAACAGGCACCGAAAGCAACCGGGATAAAGACACTACCACCACCATTTTTTTTGTCATTTTACCACTCTAATAAGCAAAGAAGGAGGGTTGGAAAGCGGAAACAAACTGCTATTTAGAGAAGGTCAGTTTCGTCACGCGGTCGCTGTTTTGCTCAAAATAACAAAGTTGCCACTGAAAGTCTAGAAAGACCATGCAGCCCATCATCCATCCAAAGAAAGTTCCAAGAGTCTGACATCTTAGCCATTAATTACCTCGAAATTTACAAATTTACCAAGAACAGGCCTAGAGCTAGGACGCCTTTTGAGACTTCTGGGTTCTGGCCGACCTTACAACCGTGTCTGTTGTCTTCCGTAACCCGAGGGAAAGCATTTACGCAACTTCTGTATTCTGTGACTGTAACGTTGGAAGAGAAGACGTGTGAGGGGTATTTTCGCTATTTCATGTGTTTTCTGGGCCATAACCCACAGGTGAGGTGTTGTATCTATAAACGAGAAGAGGGTGAACACTAACAGGTCTGATCGTGTGCTGTCATCAGCTGTAGCGTTTCACTTCACGCCTGTGTTCTTTTTTCTTCTTCTTCGTTCACTTCATTGTTTGGTTTCAAAGCTCTCTGTTCCCTCTTCACCAGCGTCAGAAGCTTTGCTCCATAAATCGAATATCAGAACCCATGGAGGACCGTAAAGAGGTGATTATTTTGTTCTTTAGTTTTTTATGGTTTGGTCTGTGCTTCGTTTTTTCTGAGTTTTTTTTTTTTAGAATATTAATGCTTTTGAAGATGAAGTGATGAACTGTGGAGATGTTCCTTTGATTTGGAGAGTTGAAGCGTTAATGACTTTAGAATTTCAATGCTTTATCATCGGAGTCTCTGTTTTGGATTGAGAAAGTTTCAGGTTCCCCTGTGTTCTCCCTTATCGAGGATTGAGTTAGGTCTAAAGAATGCACTTTTAATGGCCAGAATCGGTCAGGGATCGTATCCCTCAAGAGTTTGAACTTTGATTTTAGAGATTCATTGATTTTTCTCGATTACCAATCTTATGTCATGATTCCGGAAGAAAGGATCTTGTTAAGGAGGTATCTTTGAAATTGGCACTAAAGGAAACACTAATCTACAATAATCTTGGAGAAAAAAGATAATCATTAATAGTAATGAACAATTAATTAACACTAACAGAATGATTTAGTAACAATCCATTTCTAATTTAACCATTACTCTTGATATGTGTTTCAATTGCGAAGTTTACTGAAAAAAAAAGAAATCAGATGATTGACATCTCCGGAGTTTCTCTACTATTGTCTTCTTCTTTCCTGTTTTTTAGTCGACTTGGTGCTATTTACGAGATTAAAGTTCATGAATGGAAGCTTTAATTTGTACCAGAATCTGAAGTCTGAAACTATCTAAATTTTTGGATGATAAATGTTGCAGAAAAACGCGGCATGGCTATCTGTGCCACAGTTCGGGGATTGGGATCAGAAGGGAGACTTGCCGGATTATTCTATGGATTTCACCAAGATAAGAGAGATGAGAAAACAGAACAAGCGTGACATCTCTAGAGCCAGTCTCGGTAACGAAGAGGAGCTCACCAACGGTCACAACAACAAAAACAGCAGCAACAACAACAACAACATTAACAACAACCAGGTCCATCACCACAACCATGTGAATGATGATCAGCATCCCCACAACCACTCTCCAACTGTAAGTCCCCCTTACCTGTTGGTTGCCACCTTCTGTGATACTAATCTTGGATGTCTGCAACTTTCCATTTTTCTAGTGAGCTGTGAATAGGATAGGATATGACTGTTGTTTTGTTTGAATTGGGCAAAAACGCGTTGAAGTCTGGTTGGTTGGCAGTTGGCACATTCGTGGATGTGAGGCTGCTAGCTGACAAATCGGATTTCCTGTCCACTACTCTCTACTCACACTGTACCCGCATTGCGTTGCAGCCACACATCGCCATCTTATTGTGAGATGTGCGGCTGCAGTGTGCTGTGGGTAGGGTCCGGGTAAAGAAAGTGAGTAGGAAATTTGGCTTCGCTAGCTGAAGCCAGTCTGGACTCTGGAAGTATGGGTTACAGACGAGACGAGTGACGACTGTTTTTTCTATGTGCATTCTGATTGTTGTGTGATACGTTTTGTCACGATGATGGGCCGTGGGCCGCGGCTTTGTGCAGTAGTAAAGTAGCTTTCATGTGTCATACAGGGTAGAATGTGAGGTGGCCCATCATTGGAAGGCGGTGGGATTGGAATCTAGTGATGTTGTGTTGGTACCCACGAGCCCCTGATGGTTCAAAGAGAGAGTGTGTGGGCTGGCCTCGTAGGATTCTCTGTTTTTGGTCCCTGGATTAATGCGGTGTATGATGGGAGGATCTCATGAAATACATGATGTGGTGCACATTCCGTAGGTCACAGGCTAGAAGGGATGGCGGACTAGTGGGAAATATTGAATTGGGCAGCTTGGATAATAAATTTGTAAATCCATTAGCCGTCCACATGAGTGAGAGTAAAGGCTAGAATTAGTGCTGGAAGTTGGGAGCTGGGACAACTATCTTGGTCACAGATGAGATCGAAAATTAAAAAATTACAAATGGGGAGAAAACATGAACCACTATTATTAAAACTGGATCTAGATCTAGATAAAAATACAGGTAGGACTGATGGGTGGATGCGTGGATTAGAAGGAAAAATGATAGAATTATATGTTGTGGATAGGGCTGGCAATACTTGTTAAGAAATGAATTAAAGAGTTAACCAGGAAACAATGATTTTCTTTGTTGGAACATTTATTAATTCGATCCTCGGACAGTTGGTGATGAAGATTTTCTGGGATGGGTCGCTGTGGGTTATTATGCAAAGCAATTGAAGGCTTTTGGTTGGATGATGGATTATACTGTGAAAGCAATAATACCCATTTTAATATAGAATCATGAATTAGTAATTGATTTGTTGAACTTGAGGACTAATTCAAAAGCTTGAATATCAATACCAAAGGTTGCTCCAATCTTCTCGATTGAAACCATGACACATCCACCTTTCCATCATGTATGAAATGTGGGCTCAGTCACGTTATTCAACAGCTTTCGGCTTGATTCTCTGGTAACTTGAGTCTTGATAATTATTATAGGTTGAAATTCTAATTGTCAGACGTTGGATCAAATGGTCCAATTGACACTCTTGAGTTGAAGGTTAGGCAGTCAAATTGTCTTGATTTGAAAAGCTATTGGCACAGTTCACGTGATTAATTAAAGGGTGACCCGTGACCGGGCTATTGGAATTTTCCTAATGTTTGGTTGAAGTTGCAGAAAGGTTGGATATGGATTAACAAATTAACAATTGAGCGACCTCCGCCCCAAGGTCTCTTGTTAGTATTTGTTTGTAATCTTCTTTGTTGGATTTTAGATTTTGTCAACTCATTGATTTTTTGAGAGTTGAGTTTATTTACGTTGCCGGGCTGAGAAGATGTTTTTATCTTGTTTTTGTTTGGACAGACGAGGAGGAGTTTTCTCAGCTACTTCAACTGTTGTGTAAAGGCGTAAACGGGGTCCGAGGTGGCATTTCCACCTCTTCCAAACTGTGTAATGAGATATGGGGGACTAGTATTCTTCTTTCTTTCTTCTTGTTCTTTTTCGTTAATTGTAATTTTCCTGTTTTTTCAGCGAGTAATATAATGTGTTCGCATTAAATGATTTTTGTAATTAATATTTCAAATGGTATGCATGTATCTTTGTCTGATATTCCGTGGACATTGATCAACACCCTGAATTGGTATGGTAAATAAGGAGGGCAGTTTGAATTTCCTTGCATCAATAAGATAAGAGAAGCTGCCATCCATGACTTGATCAGGAGCTGTTTGTATGCTATGCCCCTCTGTAACCCTATCCTGCACTGTTCATCTCCAAAGTAGGCATGCCGGTTCATGGTCGTAATTCTGCTTTGACAGCCAAGAAAGTTAAGAGGGCTAAAAAGAATGAAGAGAGTGGTAATTAGCTTCCCCTCCTAACACTGTCAGTGGGGATTGGGGAACATGTAAAACAGGGAAAAAAAGGAAGAAAATTTACTGCTTGATCCTTAATTGAGCAGAAATTTTACGTAAATGATAGTTAGCTTTTGGAAATATTTAGTACAACAGAAGGAATTAAGGTTTTAAAAACTGACATAGAACCAGAACTGTTCTGGCCACTGTCTGATTCGACGTTCCAACTAAAAAATAAAAAATTAATTAAAACAAAAAAATGACCAAAATCTTGAATGGGCTGGATGGTTTGATCGCCGGTTCATTGATTAATTCAACAGTTTTTGGCCAAAAATTAGATTTAGGGTAAAATAGAATCGGTTGTCTGGATGATTCTGGTCCAACTGTCTGGGTCAATGATGGTTCAAAAATACTGAAAGGAATTCTTGAATTATCTTTCTTTTCTCTCACAAGACGAGTTCAGATCTGCTACTCGCGGAGCGTGTCCAACACCATCCCTCACAGAGCATTGCAGGCGTGCAATGAGGACATCTCCCGTACATGATGCTCGTTATCAATATGGGAAGGGAAGATGTTCCGTGTCGCGCTCCGTGAGGAGCAGATTCGATCTCTCAGACTCTCACAAGACATGACAGACGGAATGGTCCCCGATGGAGTGGAATTATTAGAAGGATTTGTCTACCATGCCGCTCAACCCATATGGTCGAGATAGTGCTTTGTTGAATGGGGCTTCCAATGCAAAGTTGGGATATAAAGATTAAAGTTGACATGGACAACGGCGACGAACATGTTTAAATTGTAACCAATACCGAGACTTTGATTTGGGCTGGCCAAAATATTCATCCCAGCCCGCAACCAAGTAGGGTCGGGAGAGCTTCTTCCACTCGTGTTTTTTTTTTTCTTTTTGCTCGGCCCATTCTTTTCCAATTTCTACAGTATTCATGTAAGTTAAAACCCTCATCGATTCTCTCCTTTAATAAATATACCAATTAAATTTCAAAATTAACAATCCTTGGCACATCCATATGCGCATACTGCTCTTCAGTTATAACCGACCAAAATGCTTAATGTGTAAACTATCAAATGAAAATATCCATCCAAAAGAAAAATGTTGAGTGTTACATTTAAAAACTGCAGCATTATCATCAATTGGCCAAGTTAGATTTTTCCAATTTTTCTATCAATACCTGATTTCATGTTGAACTGAATCAAGTGAAAAATGGTATCGCCAAATGTTGAGTGTAATATTTAGTAACTAGCATGTGCAGGTATATTGCAAAGTCCAGTTGTGCAAATGCAGGTTTTATTCATACAAGCAAGGTTTAAAATATCGATACACCTGATATGCCATTAGTGGCGTATTGAACAGTATCGATAGTTTTTTTTTTTTTTTCGAATTTGGTTCAGAGAGGCCAGTTTAAGGTCCGTCCACCCTCTGAACCGGCCAAGACCCCAAAACACCCCCTGTAGGGGTGTATCGGGAAGCCCCCAATACGATACATATCGGCCGATACAACCCACTACATATCAATACTTTGAACCTTGCATACAAGTGGTAAATCTCTACCCCATGTGAGAAAATAAATAAATAACCAACCATTTTGATAATCAGCCATAAAATGTTCGCCAGATCTGGATTAACCACATCCTAATTCCTTGGATTATCCAACTGCAACCTGTGTCATCACAATTCACAAAATGAATGGGATCCAAAGCCAAATCCAACAAAAGACACATTGATATTTCAATGTGTGCGTGGTCATGTGACCACAACCAACTGACCAAAGTAACAGACTCCAGCAAGTTGTAGTTTTAAACTTTTAATTCAACAAAAGACGCATTGAGATGTCAATTATCTAAGAATCATGTTTCTCAATAATTTGGACTTGTAGTTGGTTGGGCAGGGAGATATTCCAGCAGACAAAGCATATATGGCTGATCTAACTCATATGGATGGCCTGGGTATGCCATGCCATCCTCGTTCCTTCAGGTGGCATGCCGTGGCAAATGAGCTGGGGATTGATCATATGGCAGGGAGACAGCAACAATATCTTACACCAAGTCCCAAACTATATCAGCAACTTTTCATTTCCACACTACAAAATCCTTTGAATTAAAACTACAACTGGTTGGATTGGATTAAACAAACCTTTGACCACAACCAAGCAACAATATCCAACAGACATATCACTATAAAAACCCTCCAGCAACAATATCTTACACCACTGGTCTCTACTTTTTTACCAAAAAAAAAAAGGATTTGGTTTCTACTTTCTAGCAGACATATCACTGACTTGCTAGGCAAACATGCCCATGTGCTTGGATAGGCCCTAAATCACTATACGCACATGGCTTCAACAAGTACTGGTTTCTGGGGCTTGTGCTTGGATTGGTCTGGACTGGACACGGACCCAACAGACTTACAGGCTTTTGCATTTTCTTACATGCAAGAAGTGACCCTTCTCACTCACTAAGATCCCCTCTTTTCACGCTTGTCAAGCCAAGATCTTATCACTGCACAGAATGGTGAACACATCTATCCCTTTTTTTATTTTTTACTTAAAGATGAAAAATCCCTAATCTTTGGCCTATAATACATACCACATTCTTGCCAATAGCAACCAAAAAAAATGGTGAACACATCTATCCCTTTTAATAACTAACTCATTAAAACGGTTTTAGGAAAACCTATACGTGGGTGAATTTCTGTAAGAAAAACCCTAAATTACCAAGCTCAATGGCATTCATGGAAGGGAAGAAGCAACCAACATAAGTTATTCTTTTTCTTTTCTTAATATCAGAACATCTTCCACCGTAACTTTGTGACCGACTCCGAAGCCCATTTTGCAGAAACACCCAGTGTAGATCTTTCCCAAACTTTAATGTCCCTTGGTCACACCTTTTTAATTATCTGAACTACATCCTCATCTTCAAGTTCATGCTCCTGAGCAGTGTCAAACAAACATTTCTCACCAAAAAATCCATGAATTACAACAGGGGGAAATGAAAACTTAAAGCCCAGCATTCTACAAAGGTTAGAGATAACCAACCTTCCCCACTCTCTGGGGCTTGTGCTTCACGCTTGATCCCCAAACCAATGCACTGATCAAATCATGGCATGAGTAGAGGGAAATGGGAAAGATGAAACCAAGAAAACAAATACTACTGTGAAAATGAAAAGAAGCCAACTTCCACACCAGTGTCATGAATCTTGCACATGGAGGAATTTGGGACCGAGAGTTCCAATAATCCCACTTATGACTTACCTGCTTAGTCCAACCAGGTTCCTTTCTGATGATCCAAGCTTATTTATTACAATCTTTTAATCACATCACAAAGTTAATTAGATGAATCATACAGAAGCAACATATGAATTTCTAGAATTTCTTTTCTGAGACCAATTAAATGTTGATCTTCATCTGCATGAATGCCACTGGTGCGAAAGGGGTCAGTTCACAGCTTCTTCGTAACTTTTCATTTCCACACTATAAAAAATTAGAACAATATAAAGGTGAATGAAAAGGACACTTACTATTTGAATTGTTTAAGCATGTTTTTGTGTATTCTGTTGCAGACGTCCTCAACAGTCCTCTTTTTTGATGACAAGGTTACTGGATCTTCATAGTCTGGATTCATCCCCTTGGGCTTTGTGTATATGCGGGTTAAATCGAGGTATTCCCATATCTTCTCCAGCAGTCCATCAAGGTTCCACTCCAAGTGAGCACTTCAGAAACCATATTATTAAGATAAATTAAGAGGTAGGAAGCATTCCTAGCCAAAAATACATAAACCGAACAGTCACCTAATTCTTACTTAATAGATAGCACAAGAAAGAGATAAAATGGTCCTATCAAATGCCACAGTAAAAAACCAAGAAATCAGAGCATAACAGCAGAAAACAAATACAGGCATTTTCTATTAGGACTTATTTTAACTGTTAAAGCATATTAATTGTTAAAAAGTATTTCCTTTGTAGGAATTTGTGTCAAACTTGTCACAATGGGTGAACACAAGCTATGATGGAATCTGTTAGGGGGCTGTCAGCTGGGACTAGCCTAACATTTCATTTGCAATTGATTATTTTTCATAAATTAATAAACTTTCCAGTTAACAATAGGAAAAAAAACCTTATAATGGGTCAAGAAGTATTATTTCTAGATGGTTTCCTTGGAGTTCCATTCAGTTTTATAACCATTCCACCTACATGTATAAGTAGGAGTTCTTCTAGGAGTGTCTTCAGATTTGGGACACAACTCCAGAGAGTCTATAGAGCCAAGGTATTGATACTTGGGTTACTCTTATCTTCTTTTTCATATTCAACGGGTCTATCATGCATCACCAATTCACATGGTTAAAGGTGTGGCAGGGTGGGTGGACAACCATGTAGGCTGGTGTCTGGTCACACATGGTATAATCCAACTGGTGTCAAAGCCTCTTTGTTCATATTCTGTCTTGGACTATCTAAAACATTTGCTTTCATGTTTAGATTTCTTTCTATTAGATAAGTAAAGGAAACTGGATTGAAATTTAGTTCAGGTGGTTCTGTCCACGAAATAGTGATACTGGGCAATGTATTGCAGAAAAGATTGCGCTTCAGCTAAGCCCCAATCTTCAATTGCAGCTCTTTCAATCCCTAGCAATCCTGGATATAGAAAACTATTATAGCTGATGGCATGTCCTTTATCTTTCCAGTGCTGTAATGGAAATATGCCAAAAGCAATCTGCTGAACTTTGACCATAGTCATGGTTCCAACTCACAAATTATTGTGCCTTTTTGCAATAAATTTCAGAATTTCAATAAAAGTATAACTGGAGAAGCT